TTATGCTTACCGCTTAGATATTTATGCTGTGGTTTACGTTTTTTTATTTCGCTTTTATTTCTATTTTGTTTTCATTGCCGAGGTTCAGCTCCCTCTCGGTAAAGCATTGCTTTGTGGTTCGCTACCATGCACGTTTATCGCAAATATTTCTGCAACAGAATAGAGCAAGATTTGCAAACAACTGCATTTTTCAAATATTTCAGTCCCAAAATATAAAAAAATTGCTGGAAGATGCCTATACATAGGAGTAATTGATGATCCTGATCATGAGTGCAACGACCACTCCTGGCGCTAGCAAGTCATTGTCATATTTGTGATTAGTACGCTGAGTATTCCTCAAAGGTGGTTGTTTAAGCAAAGAAGATGTTGACATTTTTGGTGTACTAATAGTTGAATAGTATCGTCATGATGCCCAGATCGTTTAAAAAGTCAGTAAATTTATTTTATATTTTTCACTCGGTATATTTCAGAAGATGGAGCGAAAATAATGTCGACCATTTACGTGAGGCACTCACTCGTTTCGCTCATGAACTTGATCAAATCAGCAACAACGTTCAGGCACGAACAACGTAAGTGCAAATTGAAGAACTCAACATCGAAACCACTGATTGTTTTTGCTTTTCAGGAAAATGATTAGTACTGACATTAGGCGGAGGCATATGACCCCTCAGCGCCCCGTAGCTTCGGCTATTTCGACTTTGAAACGTCAACCTGCCAGGCTTGGTCCTGTAATTGTGCCGAAAAGATTGAACGTTACAAGGAGTACAGCAAGGGTTAGTACATGAATAGTTCCTTTTCGAAGTATATTGTAAAGTGTATTACTTTTACTCTCTTTCGTCTTTACCTCCTTCGTCTCACCAGGAAAATCTTTCAGGACATGATGCGCTTTTTCAAAACGGTTTTTTGCATGATAGAAGCATACGCAGGGAGCATAAAACTGAGGATCGTTTTTTTTCTGAGCTGCTCTGGGAATGCCAAAAAACATGTGGACCAGGGCTTGTGGCTTGATTCTCACTGAAGACAAGCTTTCTCTTCTCTGATCTCCACTTTCTTGGCCTCATATATGTGTAAGCTTATTTAGTAGAACGCAAAAAAGCTTTCAATATGCAACTTAAATCAATGGAGAAATGCTGCAGAGTGTTATTAAAAGTTTCCCTTGCAAAGGCAAGTTTCTCTACTTTCTTCTGGCAATCCCAGATCCCGTCAGAAAAAATGATCACCAATTTTGTGCTCACGCAAGTAACCCCATAAAGTGCAACAAACGTTTTAAATGTGCGCTCCACATGTCCTGGAGGACTTTCCTGGTTAGTCTTTATTCACAACAGAGAGACGAGACTGACAACTTTTCTCCTTTTTTAGTTGTTTTTACACGGAGTTGTTTCTTTCGCTCTCTTTCTTACGGTGATTGCCTGTTAAGTTTGGCGCATGGGACTTTTAGTACACGCTGCTTTTTACAAAGTTTCATTGCCCGATAATTAATATTCATTATCGGGTAGTATGATCGGTACTTTTGGGCTCTGATAATATACATAATAAGAGCATCTATATTGTCTAGAAATATGAACTATTCTAAAACGAATTATATTTTTAAGCAGTAAAATTAAAAGAAACCACTTGATGCTAGTCTTATGCGCCAGCCTAATGATTAGGTATCTAATGGTTCTGGAGAAATAGGCTTGAATTGCCAGAAATGGTTGTATGCGATATTCAACAATTTTCTCACGGTCCCTGATCTAACGAAACGAAACGAAAAATTAAGGAATTGCGAATTACCTCTTCTGAAATAAGTTTTTTTTTCAGCCGCAGTACATGCCGGGACGTTTAGCTACAGCTCCTCCCGCTATTTCACAAGTAATTGTGCCTACTACGAAGACCTACCCGATTACGAGGACGAGTTCGTCGACATTTGCTGGACAACGACAATACTTGATGCCAATGACACAAGCGGGTCCGTCACGGACGGTACCTGTGGTGACGTCACGTGTACAAAATCAGGCTTCGATTCATCATCCGCAAAGCTCTGCGATGGTTTCACATCAAGGACCACCGACTTTGGTGCCAGTGATAATGGACGATGCTCCACCTCGTTTGGATCAGCGAATGTGATCATAGGTATGTTGTTATGCAGGAGTTCTTCCGGGCATGGTGGATAGTCTCATTTTTTCAGTAGGGAATTTTCATTTATACTCCTCCATTAATTTGCGTTTCTTTCTTTCATTGCCAATTTTATGGTTGCCAGACTTGTAACGACTGAAGGCAATGATTACGAGAAAATGGATGAGCACCGGAAAGCGTATGTAACCCTACGATATAGTGGGCAAGCTGCAATGGAATTGAAGCGTGACATTTTTGCGGCGAATGGAGGGCTAGCTGCAGCACAGAATATCGTTAAGCCTGAAAACCGTAAAGCCCCCAAATCGCATCGCCCACCGGGGTGTGGCCAGTAGCGACGTCGTTCACTTTTAATTTTGAGAGAGCCTGTTGTCACTTGAGGTGGTCGCAGCTTTTAATTGGCCCATGTAATGTGTATCAAGCGCGGCGTAGTGTTCATTGGAACGGTGTCGGATTATGGAGGTTAATATGTGCAAACGATTCTTTGTGGTGGTTCCCTAGCCCAAAACCAACGGGCAAACCATGGGGTCCCATTTTGTTAGTTCTTTACGGAAGTTTCTGCCATTCTTGTCACTGGCAGATCGTTAAGCTTTCATTCAGAACCCACTCAGAATTTATCGTAATCCAAGATAGGGGTTGATCTCGTTTCTAAGGTTTCAGCATCGTTGTAAGAGAAGCATTATGTTCATAGCTCATCACAAGTATAATTCTCTTCTATTTTTACAGTTTATAGTTTTCGTCAGGTAAGTAGCATCTCAATATTGCTTTTTCAGATGTTTCTTTGAAGAGAATATAAGACGATTGAGACGTCGTACGTGAACTCACCTAACACGTGAACTTTCTCTCCGATGTGCGTTTTTCGCTTACCTCTTTCTCTCGTTTTGTTTCCTTTATTCAAATGTATAGTGAATTTGGCAGGTGCATGTTGCATGGTGACCTGCACAAGCACCATTGGGTCAGTTCATCTCTGTCACAATATATTGTTTTTTTTTCATTTGGAGTCCTGTTTCAGATCTCATTGCTGGACCCACTCTGAGCATATTTGAGAACTTGGTAGATATTAGTTATATAGTTGTCGCAACTTTGGATAGACATTTCAAATTGAAGAGTTCGCTGAGCTCTTCTCCAGCTTTTTATTTTGCATCTTAGAAGTAAATTAAAATTTTAAACGAGCGGTTGCCGTGGCTGCCTAGGGGGGAGGGGCTGTGGTGCGACAGTTCATGACGCGAAGTAATCACTTTTTTGCAGGGGAGGAAGCTCCGGGGTGGGTGTAAAAGTTAAGCGAAATGGTTCACGCACCCCGGGGATTCCCTCCCCTTGCAAAAAATTGGAATTTCTGTAGCCGGCAAGAACTGTCGCACCACATGCCCACTAACCCCCTCCCCTCCTTACTGGATGACAATCGATAAACATAAAATCTTGAAGGTTTTCCCTTTGGGCCATACAGTAACTGTTGTGTTTTTATATTTTCCGTACTCGTCTTTCTTTTTGAATTGCTGTGTAATCCATTGCACCTTGGTGAAGTTGTTTTTGAATTGGTTGAACAATGCACGGATAATCTGCAATGTTATGTTGATTGCTCTTCATCTATTGTATTTTGAGCTATTGTCTGCGTTACTGATTGGACTTATGCTCTGCTGAGAACTGTAGCCACTTTGGCGCTGGAACCGTTCGCTTTGACTACAACTATTCACTATTTTCTCATTAGGTCACTTTAGCAACCCCACACATATTACGGCTCTTTAGCTATTTTTTCCAATTCGTAAAAGGTTAGCAGTGCCACTTCAGTATTCTCAGTCATTATCCATCCCTGCGGCAGGCTCATCCGTGTGCTAAAACATTTTCTTGTGGCCTTGAAGCTTTGACCGTGGCTTCTGATGATAAAGCCTTTTATTGTGTTGTACAGTTTATCATGTTCACTAGCCTTGTATAGATGTTGTAATAGTATGTTCTGAATTAGAATTGCCTGTTGATTGTTGTTATCTTACTTCGAATGAAGATTTATTATTCACTTCACGCGACGAAAACCAAGACATAAGACGGGACCCTTGTTTTCTCCTTAATTCCCGCGTTCTCATCCATCAGTGCTGGTATGATCAACGTGGACGCCTCGCTCTGTCTACGGCAGGAATTTGCTGGAAAGGGTCCAGCAGTTGGGTAGCCAATGGGTTGGCGAAGAATTCCGTTGCTGCGGGTGGGGCCATGTTAATACATAGCGACTCGTATTGCTCTTCTGAAGGGAAGCCATCCTTCAATAGATGATAATCTGTCTCTTTGGTTGACTGCCAATTCCGCACCTTTTTCCATTGCCAGAATTTGTCAATACCCAGTCAGTAGACGAGTGGAAAAAGGTCCCCGAATGTGTTAGATTTATTTTGCAAGCGATGTTTTTAAGGGAATTAAAAAAAAAGGATTAAAAAGGGGGGGGGGGGGGGGGGGGGGGGGGGCGCTAGTAACAGTTTGATATGTGTTTGTATCTACCTCACTTATAGACTTTCGTTCCAAAAATCCACTGAACACACATTTCTGTGGGTAGATTTCAAGGCTGGCTGCGGCACATTGAGGTTTCAACAGGTGGAATTGAGAAGTAAGAGATATTCTCTTATAAATCATGGAGGAGGGAGGCTTTTCAGAGAGCATGGTCGTCTTCGTGAGTGAACCAATAGACCGTAAGCTTAAAACCATGATAACCGTGCATCGAGGAAGGCGCGAGGCCATATATGGCGGCCAGTTTTATTATCTCTCCCTGTGCACATCAAATAATTCGGGCATTGTGTGCTTGAATACTGTGAACAGCCTTCGCATGGCACATGTCCAGCCAATGGTGCCGTAGAATGGTTCTCGGTTTAAATCACATCTTCAGAAAAGCTGATGTCAGTCGTGTTTATACCTCAACGAAAATGGTGTTCAAACCGGGTGCGGGACACTTTGGCTTCGTCCGGGGTGGAACGCGGGCGAGTTGTGGTAGCCGATCGGACGTGGACAAGCTTTCGTAGGATTTGCAAGTAGACTCAACACGTTCAAGGCATGCAGATTGCGGAATAACTTTCGCGATTTTTTGAAAAAAAAAAAAACTTTCGCTCGCTCATTGAAGCAGCGGTGTCGTGAGGAGAATTCATCGCCGAGAAGTATTGGACGATGGGGAGCCTTCATGGTTTTGTCATTACTATCATCAAAGTGAATAAGTTACACTAAGAACTTTGGAGTTTTTGCTGGCGATGAGATAGTTATTCAGTGTCGACTAAATATGCTGCTCGCGGCGCTCACGTCCTTAGAGGGAACATTAAACAGACTGATGGTAGGTAACACTACGACTAAGCTCAGGAGAGGGAAGAAGCGCCAGAAGGACACAAATTGCCTTACCCGAGCATACCTTCCAGTCCCAAAGGCTTAGACCTAAGCATAGCAATTGGCTCACTCGCTCCTCCCGTATGGAACACCCCTCCTATATCCCCCCACCTCAACGCATGAGCGCCCTACTCGCAATAGGAACACTGTGCTAGTTCCTTCTTACCTCTTCCTACTGAAGTTTCTACAGTCCATACACCGGAAATGACGTGGCAGCCGCCGCACTTGATAGAAGTCGCGTGGATAAACTGCTTCTGGCCTGCCGTGCTGATCCCAGCGAAGTATGTTGGAAGCGGCTTATCCGCGCGACTTCTATCAAGTGCGGCGGTCGCCACGTCAAGTCCGTAGACCCGCCTTAATCAGGTCAGATATAAACTACATCATCACCGCTGTCTTAAAATTGTACGCATTAAAATTATTTCGAATCGCAGACCCGCAGATTTTATCCGCGACCTGCACTCTTTGACGTGTTGCATTCCGCTGCAAAAGTCCACGAAGCGTCCGGATCGCCGCGCAACTTGCCGCGTGCCAGCCCGGACGAGCCAAAAGTCCGGCCCCCCTCAAACTCATCGCTTTCTTTTCATTTTTCTATTTTGATGATTCGGCTCGTATCCTTACTTTCATTCTGTGAGGTTACCTCACCTTATGATCGTAGGGTATGCCTTCAGAATGACGTAGTTTCCATCACCAATATCCATGGTTTCCCTTGTTGTGTTTTCTGTGGAACTCTTGTTCACTTGAGTCAGGCTTCTGTCTTTAAGATTACTAATGAATTTCAATAAATAGCACCTTGCGGCGATTTGATGGTGGGTGTGCGTCATATGGCGCGATCCCATTGGCATTGGAGCGCACAGGCCGTAATTACCACATCCTGCTGTGGCCGGACAACTCGTCCGCGCAACACATTCTGTTCCGTTCCTCTTGCCTTGGCATCAGGCCAGCAAAGCTATCCGTTTTTTTACATCTTCGAGACTCAGCTGCATCGATCAATTACCGAAGTATAGTAGTTGAGTGATACGGACGAGTTATTCGGATGGGGCTATTGCGGCCTGTGCCCTCTAATGCCAATGGGATCGCTCCATGTGACCTCCTCCCGGCACCACGCCAGTTCATGCTTCAGTCGAGGGGCTCCAGTTGTGCCGCTGCTGGCAACAGCTTGTCCAAATCACCAACCAAACTAGTGGGTGGGACGCTTTAGGGCGGAGCGCTTTTCAAAAACTGCTCGGGTACCCCCCAGGAGGCCCGTCGCGCGGCAAGAAGGCAGAGTCGGCGGACGAGTTGCAGCGCGTGGTGTGCGATGTAGGACGTGCAGTGGGACACTCTATTTAACTTGACGCGAAATCCCTATAGTACGCGCGCGACTCGTCCGCTGACTTGCCTTCTTGCC